ACTTGATGGCATGGTATATGGCGTTGGATCCGCCATTAATGATGTGAAATCATTACAGATCAGTTGTGTCAGGCTATCAACTTGATCAGTTTGATATGCAATGCCAAAGTGAGAGGAATATGAGACCACGAGTTGCATAACCTCAATAAAAGTGGATACATTTCAATAAGAGATTGTGAACTACCCATATGAGCATCAACCATCATAGAAACATCATCATCGTTTGAAAGCTGAAATGATGTATACGTGAGCGGAAAAGTTCAGTAGGAAATTTGTACTGAAGTGAAGATAGTCTTCTCTGGCCTGCTACACATCTTTAACAAATTTTTGTGATTAACTCCTCAGTGTTGATGTCTCTTCAAGTTAAGGGGATATAATATCTGACTCAAAAACAACCCCCTCTTCAGCTTCCTTAATTTCTCCATCATACAAAACACAGCAGAAAGACGACCATTTTCAGAGAATTTGAGAATTTAGAGTTTGGGAATTTGAGAATTTGAAAGATGTGAACTGAAGTTTGTTTTTGAAAGTTTATATACGTTGCATATAATAGTGTCTATAATCGGAGTATTATTCACATGAAGGCGCGTTCCCGGGGGCGCGCCTTCCATTATTTCGTCAGAGAATATGTTATCATTTCCCTATTATATCACTCATGTCCCTCGGGGACACTAGATATATCAGTACCTATTATTTCACTATTCACTGAAGGCGCTTCCCGGGACGCGCCTTCCATTATTTCATCAGAGAATTATCATTGCCCTATTATGTCACTCATGTCCCTCGGGGACACTAGATATATCAGTACTATTATTTCACTATTCACATGAAGGCGCGTTCCCGGGGGCGCGCCTTCCATATGTTATCATTGCCCTATTATGTCACTCATGTCCTCGGGGACACTCGATATATCAGTACCTATTTTTTCTCAGGGGACATGAAGGCGCGTTCCCAGGGGCGCGCCTTCCATTATTTTGTCATAGAATATTTATCATGCCCTATTATGTCATCATGTCCCTCGGGGACACCCGATATATCAGTACCTATTATTTCACTATTCACATGAAGGCGCGTTCCCGGGGGCGCGCCTTCCATTATTTCGTCAGAGAATATGTTATCATTGCCCTATTATGTCACTCATGGCCCTCGGGGACACTAGATATATCAGTACCTATTATTTCACTATTCACATGAAGGCGCGTTCCCGGGGGGGCGCCTTCCATTATTTCATCAGAGAATATGTTATCATTGCCCTATTATGTGACTCATGTCCCTCGGGGACACTAGATATATCAGTACCTATTATTTCTCAGGGGACATGAAGGCGCGTTCCTGAGGGCGCGCCTTCCATTATTTTGTCATAGAATATGTTATCATTGCCCTATTATGTCACTCATGTCCCTCGGGGACACTAGATATATCAGTAAATCAGGTAAATTATAACCAAAATTTAACTTATTTTGAAAGTTCAGCAAGTTAAGAATAACTTAAATTAAAACATTATGTGAAGTTTGAATAAATTAGATAAAATGTTATGGATAAATTGAATAAATGTGAAGTGATAAGTTGATTGTGACATTGAAATTGTATGGAATGAGCATTGAAATGTGACATTGAATAAATTGCCAATTCACCCCCTCTTGGCCGATTCCGTCGATCGATGAACTCAACATAAGTTGATTTTATTGTATACGTTTTAATATATATGTTAATGATAAAATCATATGTATGGATAAATTTAATTTCAATTTAAGTATTGTGAATATAATTGGAATAAACTTTAATTTCGAATACAATTGGAATATTAAGTTGAAATTTAATGTTAAATTTCGAATACTATAATTTATTATTTTAAATTTAAATTTGAATAATATTATTTTTATTTTTATTTTAAATTTTGAATAATATAATTTGTATTTTAAAAACATTTATCAAACATTTAATGTTAAATGTGAATAAAAAATAACATTAAAAATATGTATGTAACAACCATGAAACATTTAAATAACATAACCAAATTACATAAAATTCTGAAAATAATTATTAAATAACATTAAATATAACTGGATCACCGATGTCGTCTTCTCGAATGAGTTCCACATGGCGGTGGTTGTCTATTTCGTGGAGGATTTCTTCGTGGAACTTTTTCTTCAGTCTCCTTATCTTCACTATCATCATCAGCAGCATTTTCTTCATTTGGTGTAGATGACTTTGAAGGGGCTGAAGGGCCTGTATAAAATAACGACCTTGGAGGAGTGCTAGTAACAATCCACCGCTCCCCGGGAACTGTGAAAACTGTGGAAACATTGGCATCGATGTCTGTGATCCAGATGGAGATTGAGGTGTCTGCGGAGAAGCACCACCAGCCAAATAAGATGCATATGAACCATATGCTGGATCATTAAACATAGTCGTATATGCACCTCCATATGGTATAAAACCCTGCGGGCTAGGCATGTAACCTGGCGGGCTAGGAATGTAACCCTGCGGGCTCGGAAGTAACCCTGCGGGCGGAATGTAACCCTGAGAGATGGCATATAAACTGGTGGGCTTGGCATATGAAGTGGAGGGCTGGGCATGTACCCCATGCGGCATCGACGAATAAGGATGTTGTGGTGGGACTGATGCAGAACCGGTAGCGCCTTCTCTCCGTCCACGCGTCGGGGGACGATGATATTGAGACGGTTGACGTTTCTCGCGCGGGAATGTTAACCCCTCGTGCTTCCGCCGAAAGTAGAAACGGCTTCCCAATTTCATTAAACCAGTCCATATAGTTATCCGTAACCATATGACCAGTTTCAGCGTAATATTATCGAGGGGCCACCAGTGTATATCGGTTATCCCAAAGCGCAATCCAATCTCTGTGTCTCACCACCCAGTTAACATCTTTCTTCCCTCGTCTATCTATGTTATGCACGTCGTCTAAATTCCTAGGAGCTCCAGGAATATATTGCGTACAACCATACTGACGGAGCACGCGATCAACTGGATGCCACTCAATAATAACATATAAGAGGTATAACCGATATCCATGCCTCTAATGACCCACTAAGGGGGGTGGGATGCAAGCTTTTCACTTCATCGCTGCATAAGGTATCCACTGAAACTGAAAATAAATATACAATTAAATAAATAAAATATTCTAATTATATCTAACATTTTAAATTAAAAATAATAATTAAACAAATTTAAAAACATACCTCAGACCCATCTTTCGTATCAATAAGTAAACGAATTTCCTCTAACCCAGTAGGTATACTTTTATGGTCCTTTCTTTTCATCGACCACCTATGAAATATAATATAAACTAAATATCACCCTATTTAATTGAAAATATTTAAATCAAAATTTAGTTCGAAAATTACCTCAACAATAAGGGGAATACGTATGGTTCATTCACGATCGGGCATAAGAAAGGCATGCGGAACCACGCCCATGATTGTAGAAGCAGACATCCACCGATAGCAGTTTTTTATAATTCGTCGCCCGACACATTTCTCTAAAGAGAAATGCCAAAACTGCAGCACCCCAACTATATCTTCCAGCTTCATCAAAATCGATCAGATGCCGCAACCACATACAATGCACCTGGTTGCGAGATTTGTCGGGCATCAATATTCCTCCAATTATTCGTAGAATATATGCCCGAGCACATGCCTTTGCTTGCCCTCTGAAGCATTTTCATTTAAAACCTCAAAATTAGCTTTCAACCAAGATAAAGCTATTCTACCTCCATTAAACTCTGGCGGAGCAGCTCCAAGATAATCAATGCACATTGATTGCCAATCACCATCCGCCATACCACACATCATATTTCCGTCGACGGGAAGCCCCAGATGCATAGAGACATCCTCCAATGTAATTGTCGCCTCTCCACATGGAAGGTGAAAAGTGTGTCTCGGGCCTCCACCTCTCAATCAGTGCAAATTAGGACAGGTTCGAGTTTGCAACCGCCTATAATTGTTGCAATATACCCGAACCCGGCAGAAGCCAAATATGGCAAAATACGTTCCGGTGTCGGTATACGTGGATTTTTAATAAAAGTCTCTAAAATACGATCAGCATCCTAAATAATATACATTATAAAAAATAAAAATTAATATAAATTCATAATAACTTTAAAATAAAAATAAATTTAAATATTAACATTAATTATAAAAAATACCATATCGCTAAAATGTCTGGAGATATGATCAATATCCAATCGTAATAGCATTTCGTTTTCCATTATAACTGTAGACAAAACATATAATTAGCAAAAAAATTAATAATTCTAAATAAATAATAATTATATAAAATTATTTTAATAAAAATATAATATTTACATAAATATATTAATATAAAAATAATAACTATTTAAAAAATACTAACATAAAAATAAATTTCTTACCACTAATAACAAATTTAAAACTCAAATAGAGAATTTGAGTTATATAAGAGATGAGAAGATGATTTTGGTGTGAAGAATGAGGGAGGGTTGAGGGGTTTATATAGGAGGAGGAGAGAGGAGTAGTTAGGAAAAACGGATGGGGGCATTTATGACATTTAATGGAAGGCGCGTCCCAGGGATGCGCTTTCTACATGTGTCTGCTGAGTTGGCAAAGGCGCGTCCCCGGGAATGCGCCTTCCACACGTGACATCCAACTCAGCGAAAATACGGGTAAAGCACGTCCCCGGAGACGCGTCTTTGCCAACTCAACAGAAAAGATGCTATTTCTGGAAATATTGATCAAACGATGTCAGAAAAGAAAAATTTAAAACAAAGGGTGTCAAATAGCCGATATTTTAGGGGGAAGGGCCGGGGGGCTGACATTCACAATTATACGTGTAATTAAAGAAGTTAGGATTTGACGCGTGTCCTATGACAGCTGTATACTAGTATCTGTCTTCCCTGTAAGAGTCCTCATCACTCAACCGATGACTACTCACTTTAATCGGTTCAACACGGCATCCTTATCCCCTCCCATATATATTTCTCCTCCCCCATTTTCTTCCCTATTCTTCTCTCTTTACCCAAACGTGAGGCTCCGCCTCAACCACCGTCGTAACCATCTCTCAGGCGGCGTTCTCTCAACTCTCTATTATCTGTACAGATATGATATCAGCTTAGATTATACTTTTCTGGGTTTTGGGTTTAATCTGTTCATAGTATTTCTTTTCTTTGCTCTGTTTTTTTAAAATCATAATATAATGGGTTCTACAAAGAAAGATGTGGATCGGATCAAAGGTCCGTGGAGTCCAGAAGAAGATGAGGCTTTGCAACGGCTGGTTCAAACTTACGGACCTAGAAACTGGTCTTTGATAAGCAAATCAATCCCGGGTCGATCTGGTAAGTCGTGTAGGCTTCGATGGTGCAACCAACTTTCTCCGGAGGTTCAACACCGTCCTTTCACTCCCGAAGAAGATGAGATGATTATGCAAGCCCATGCCCGATTCGGCAACAAATGGGCTACCATCGCCAGACTACTCAATGGCCGTACCGACAACGCTATTAAGAATCACTGGAACTCAACGCTAAAGAGAAAATGCTCATCCATGGCTGATGATTTAAACGATGATTCCCCACAGCCGCTTAAAAGATCGGCCAGTCTGGGAAATGGTAATAACACATCGGGCCTTTACTTGAATCCCGGTAGTCCTTCTGGATCCGACTTGAGTGACTCGAGTTTACCCGTTCCCACACCGATTTTCGCCTCGATATCAAGGGCCGGTTCTTTAGTTCAGTCTAGTCAGCATGTGGAAACGGCCTCGTCGACAACGGATCCACCGACCTTACTCAGCCTCTCGCTTCCGGGTTCCGAAAACAAGGACGGAGGGCCCTTGTCCCCACCTGGATTCAACCCGGTTTCAAGCCCGACCCAGGTTGCAGGACCAGCTGTGAAAAATGGCGAGATGAATGGGATGGAGAAACAGTTTCTTAGCGCTGATCTCTTGGCGGTGATGCAGGAGATGATAAGAAAAGAAGTGAGAAGCTATATGGCTGTGATTGGAAAAAACGAGCTTTGTTTGCAAACCGAGGCTATTAGAAATGCTGTTGTTAAGCGTATTGGAATTAGCAAAATCGAGTAGGCAACATGAATCAGGCTTAAGAGGACCAAAAAGAAAGTTGCTTCGTTTTTTTTCCTTGGGTTTTTTCTTGTAAATTTGGTGTCAGTTATTATGGTTATAGAAATAATAATTTTGGTAGTGTACAGAGGGGAAAACAATGGGACAGCCATATTAGAGGTTTCAGTTGGGTGAGAAGGAAAAAAATTATATTACATAAAATTGAAAAGAGAAACCCGTCTCATTTAAAATGTCTATTATTGATTTTTTGTTAATTTTTAAATTTTTATTTTTTTCTTTTTAAAATTTATTATTGATAAAAATATAGAAAATTTATTTTAAAAACTATAAATGTTCAAAATAATTGTGGTTTGAAAAGTCAAAAAGATATAATTTCAATGGGACGGAGTATAAAATATTAAAGAAAACATAAATACGGTTTTAAATGATTTTTTGTCAAACACTTATGCATTTAATATTTAAATTATTAATTTTGATCTATTTCAATACATAAACTTTTAAAATTTTTAAAATTTAATATGAAATTTTGAACTGAACAGAGTATTAAATTAAACAAAAACTTTAAAAATTTTAAAATTTAATATGAAATTTTGAACTGAACAGAGTATTAAATTAAACAAAAACTAAAGTTTTTAATAATAGTATATTAAAATAAAATAAAAATTAAATTTTAGGTATAATTTTAAAAAAAATTAAAAGTTTAGTTATTAAAACGATTTAAAACTTATAACATTGTTAATTTTAGAATGGTATCATTTTGTGTTTAATTCTTGTGATTTTTATTGAAAAATCACCATAAAAAATTGTAAAATTATTGAAATAGCACCCTTTGATCAATATATATATACAAATATTACTTTTTTTGTACAACGTGACACGAAGACGTTTTATGCTGATGTGGTAGTCCACCTTTACATTTTATTTAAAATTAAAAAGAAATATTAAATATATAGTTAAAAATATATAATATTCAATTAAATAACACCAAACATAAAAAAATATAACATTAAAAAATAAAAACTAAATATAAAAATACAATATTCAATTAAACATATACATTAAACATTATATGAAAACATAACATTAAAACATAATATAAAAACATTAAACATAATATACAAATATAAAAATTAAATAAATTAAACATAAATATAGAAACGTAATATTAATGTAACACGTTAATCTGATCTGATCCGAAGATCCATGAATTACGATGCCACACGAAACCACCGAAATGGCCAACCCAAAAATTTCTTTTAAAACATTTAATAATAATAAACTCATTCATCATAATTTAAACAGAATCGAAATCAAGTTTACAAAAAAAAGGGAGTCTCCTGAAATACGTACTAATACAACTAAATTATTTTGATCAAAATAGAGTTATGACTCGATCATACAAAGGTCCATATAAAATACACGCCCTCTAAAATAGACTCAAGACATACTCTGCAGCGACTTCTCTGGAATGTACAGATGCGATAGGCTCCTTGATGATCCCTCTACTAACCTACGCACGAAAACACATTCCATAAGCTGAGCTCACAAGCTCAATGCCAAGAATATAACTACACAATACTACATGTATTCGTTACATGAACATGCAAGAATGTAAATTCATGAATATAAAAAGTAAATATCAAATATGAGATAGACCAAGTGAAGTGGTCGGAGGAATTTACGTACATCTCGGACAACATGTAATACCCCAAATATCGGGTCGATGACTATATTGAAAGGATTTAAAAATATGGAGGATTTAATTTAAATAAATGGTAAAGTACAAGAAATAGATTTAAAATTCATTTTAATTAGAGTATTTAAAAAAGGGAAAATTGAAAAATCAACTAATTTATATTCTCTTCTTCTTCCCCTTTGCTCGTGCTCTCCTCCATATCCAAAGGTAAGGCTTCATTTAGCTATTTTTTCCTTTCGTTTTTGGTTTGTTCTTGAAACCTTAAGTGTAGTGGAAGCTTAAGGAAGGTTTAAAGAGGGTTAAAACTAATAAATGTATGACTTATTGGAGATTGAAGAAAATGAGTTTTTGAGTGATTTGTTGAAATATGAAATTTTATTGATGTTTACAAGTATATTTGACTTGTCAAATAAGTAAATAAGATATTAGAAGCCCTGGATATGATTAAAAACATGTTAGAAAAAGTAGTATGATTCTTGGTTTGGAGTGTTCTTTAGAGAATTTGGGTGTTATAAGAAGCTAAATGGAGGAATGTTAGTTGTGTTAAGTAATGGTGAGTTTAATGGTATTGTTGGGAGTAAAAGTAAGAGACTTAAACGAAATCAAGGTAAAAATCGAGCTGAAAAATGGAAAATATGGGTAAGGGTATCGGTACTGGAAGAACAATAATGATATTATAGGTTTAAATTTGAAGGAATATGATGAACAATATCGATACTGATGTGGGTATCGATACTAAGAGAAATGTATCGATACCATGGATTCCAAAATACAGAAATGGTATCGATACTAAAAGGGAGTACCGGTACCATAGTATAGAAGTATCGATACATGGTCGGGGTACCGAATGGTATCGATACTATTGAGTCTGGAAAATTAAGATAGGAGGAATTTTGATAGAAATTAAATATAAAAGTATTTTTAAGTATTATTAAAAATATAAATGTTAGAAAGTATACTAACCTTGGCATGGTATGTGTACTTAATGGATGCTTGTGTAGATCGTAACCAAGCTCCCGAGACAAGCAAGAAGAAGGGCAAAGATAAGGTTACGGAATAGCTGGACACCCTTAAAGCATATTAACGAGGTATACCAAGTGAGTGCATTTATTATGTACATTAAGATTTATAGTTGCATGTGGTTAAATGCATATGTTGCATTGTTATATCAGTACTATGTGCAGTGTCGGCAATAAGTGTGCAACCCACAAAATTTTATAATAAGTTTATGAACGGCCGTATCGACACTAAGTGTGCAACACACGAAATTCATAATAAGTTTATGAACTACCGTATCGACACTAATTGTGCAACCCATGAAATTCATAATGAGTTTATGAACGACCGTATCGACACTAAGTGTGCAACCCATGAAATTCATAATAAGTTTATGAACGACCGTATCAGCACTAAGTGTGCAACCCACGAAATTCATAACGAGTTTATGAACGACCGTATTGGCACTAAGTGTGCAACCCATGAAATTCATAATAAGTTTATGAAAGACCGTATCAGCACTAAGTGTGCATCCCACGAAATTCATAATGGGTTTATAAAAGACCGTATCGGTGCTAAGTGCGCACCACACATAATTCATAATGAGTTTATGAACGGTCGTATCTGCACTAAGTGTGCAACCCACGAAATTCATAATGAATTTATGAACGACCGTATCGACACTAAGTGTGCAACCCACAGAATTCATAATAAGTTTATGAACGACCGTATCGATACTAAGTGTGCAACCCACGAAATTCATAATGAGTTTATGAACGATCGTATTGACACTAAGTGTGCAACCCACATAATTCATAATAGGTTTATGAACCACCGTATCGACACTAAGTGTGTAACCCACGGAATTCATAATGAGTTTGTGAATTTCCATATTGATACTTAGGTGCAAATTCATGTACCATGCATTCTCATTCAATATATATTGGGACAATAAAAGAATAAGTTAGATAAATACTGATTGATAAGTATGCTTGGCATACTAAATATGGTTTCGTAGGTTATGTGAAAGAAACTTGGTTTACCAAGCCAACTGTATGTATAATTATGATTTATACGAGTTAATTCATATTTTGATATTTATGATATACTTATGTTTTGATTTTCACTTCATTATTATTATGCCTCACTAAGTGAATACTTAGCGTGTGATTGATTTTCACATGTAGGTAAAATCCAGGATTAGAAGTAGAGTACAAAGCAACTCCAAGCATCAAGGAATATATTACAAAATCAGTAAGACATCCTATGATGAAATTTTGACTCAATTTAGTGGTATGTACTTATGAATGTCCTATTAACTCTACTTAAATATTTTGGAAACTGGTTTGTAATAGATTAAATGAATCACCTTATGTTGATTTTAAATATGGATAATATGAACTAGTATTGCTAATTTGAGTAGATGTGTTTAATATATATATATATATAATATAAGAATGTCTTATTAATTATATTATTGAATTGTTTTATCTAAAGAAAATAAAATTTTACTGATTTTCAAGTACCGAAAATGTTTCAAAAGTCATGTGACATCTGTGACTCATTTAAGGAAACATATACGGGAAATGAGTGTTACATTTATTGGTATCAGAGCTACAGATTTAGTCATTTCTGGACATGAAATGAGTATTAATTTTGTTAAGAATGTATACATGACACTAGGATGTGAAAAGTTTACTGATAGTTGTATATATATTGTGATGATGCTTATAAGGGAGTAAAGTTACTCTTTATTAATGTACTATGATTTTGATTATATTTAGATGTCGAAAACTAAAGGTAAAGGTCAAAAAGTTGATAATGTTGAAAAGAAGGTCAAGATCAATATCGACCCAAGAGAATCCGACATGACTTCAGTATCACGTCTTAGAAGGGTAGAAGCTGCTAGGGATTTTCCTCCATTTCGTGGAAGGAATGCACAACGATTAACTACGTTTCTGCATTTGAGGAATCCAATAAAAAGTTTGAACGGTTTATAAGAGAGAAGTTGAATCGGATGAGGATCCAGAGGAGATTTCTGAATCTAATAATGTTCTGAGGTTTCTTCAGGTAAGCTTAAATAATTGAGAAATATTTAAGTGAAACATTAAATTTTTTTAAAGCATTGCTAATTTGAGTAAGAGGAAATGAGTAAGCAGTAAATACATTATCCACTAAAAGTTTATAGAAAGCTGAGTTATTAGTAAATCAAATGATTATGAGTTTGTTTGAGAATAAATGCTAAGTTTTATGGACTTGATAGAGTTAACTTTAGAAGGTAATTTGTGAAAATGGATTTTTTACCCATTCCATGCTACAATGAATTATTATTTAGAATTGAGATTAATTCTCGAGAACTTGAAAAGTGTCAAGTTCGTAACGATAGGAAAAAGAGTAAATTTGTTTACTAGTTTAATTTTTAGCATTAACTGCTATGAGGTTATTGCTACAAAATTGTCAAGTCTTCTTATTAAATGATGTG